ATATATATATATATATATATATATATAAATTAACGTTTTTAACCTGTAAAATCACGACAAAATATAAAATTGTGAAAACATTATGTCAATACTTTATAGTAAAAGCTAGCAGAGGGCTCTGTGTTACAACAACATGTTAAAGAAAGTATGAATAATACTACTACTACCAGTAGTAATACCCATAAATATAGGCTTATAATACGTAAAAGTTGTCTTTTTTGGTAACTGTGGTGTGATGTAGTCTTCGCTTAAACCTAAACATTATCAATGATTTTTTTACTTCGAAATATGAACTAAAAGAACTATTTCTGTACTAGTGCTATCTACTATAGACTATAGTATAACTTGGTCTATTAGTATTACAGCTAGTGCTAGTACTATTAGTAATACTAGTAAGTAGTAGTAGTATATATTAGTTATTAATATTATTTCTATCAATGATACAAAAAAAAAAAACCAATAACCAGAGCGCTTTCGGTAAAGCATGATTTCTTTCCTCAAGGGTAAATGGTAAATGCAGTATTATAGCAGTACTAGAACTTAGAAGCTGGAAATGGCAACAAGCGGGAAGATAGAGTCAATATATAGTAGGCCTAAAGTTACAACTAATGATAGTGTAGGTTTAGTGCATCAAACCAAATGTTCGTATTTTTATCCAGCTGAGGGAAGGTGGGCTAATGGTAATATGTTTTTAAGTAAAGACAAAATAGTTTTCTCTCTTGAAAAGACAGGAAGTGGTACTGAGGATAAAATTCTTCAGCTTTTGTTACGGAACATTACAGAAGTTAAAAAAAGGTCTTCAAGTTTAATTTTTCCTGCCATTATTGTTCAGGTTGGTGCAATGCCTCATTGGTTTGCATCGTTTCCAAACAGAGATATAACATTCAATTTATTAGAACTATTTTGGAAAGAATACCTGTTGTGTAAAACAATTTATCATGACGTTGAATCTAAAAAATGGGAAAGTGAAAATGAAGCTCAAAGTCTCGGGCAGGAAATGATGGAAATTATGTATGATTCTCATGCAACTCTACAAGCTGCAGCTTTAACTCTTCACCAGCAAGGAGACCAGCTTAGTAATGCTTCACGGGTGGTTGGTGATATAAATGAGAATTTATCTGTTTCAGAACGTTTCTTAGGCATGTTATCATCTGTGATGAACATGATAAAAGTGCCTAGAAGCCATAGTGTTCCAGAGATGACAGATAAAGAGAAAAGTTTCAAATTTTCAGCAAGTTTTTGTATTTCTACTCACAATATGGCAGAATACCAGAAATTGATTCAAGGGATAATAGATATTAGAAGTAGTGGAATAAGGCTTATAAGAAGTGATGGACAAATCAGCCATCATCTGAGAGGGAAATATATTTCTTCCATCAAGGTAACATTATTTATTTATTTATTTTGTATTTAAAGTCATATAATCTATATGTTTTGTACAGTGCAGTTTTTTAACATGTGAAAATAACTTCTTTTTTTTTCTGTGTTTTGCCAGAGGAAAAGGCAGAAGTCAAAATACACACCTAATTGTTCAGTTCTGAAAAATCTTCAGATTTCATTGATGCCACAATAAATATTGCTTGTATTTTGTTTGGTCTCGTATCTTGTTTGATGATGTAAATTATCATTTTAGTTTAGGTTATTACTATATCACATTATGTAAGGATTATTTTCATTTGTAACAAAATTAATCAGTTATAGATAAGTTATGTGTGAGAGGAAGCTTGCATCAATTTAAAGTTGACTATTAGTGAAAATAAATTTAAGGTGTAGAAACCTAGTTTCAGATTTAATTCTTTAATAAAATTATTTTCCTAATGAAGTGGTGAACAGATATGTTGCTTGTGTATATAAGAATGTATAGGGCCACATGATAGTTCCTTTTACTGGTCTTGGTGCTTTGATTAGTTGACAGACTGATATCACCATCTCTTTGTAATCTGATTTACTGATGCTCCTATAGATGTTGACATTGACAATAATGTTTTTTTTTATGTATTTCTACATATATATATGTAGTAGTTACATGTGACCCTTTTGGGCTAGATGTGGGAATGTATTTTCCTGCAGGATCTAAGTCTTAAATCAAAGATTATTATGTATCTGCTCAGAGCAGCTGGTGGGCTGGTTGGATCTGTGGGATAGTGTTCAGGGTAAGGGTGAATTGTATTCTAGAGATGAATTTCACTTAATCAGGTTAAATAGTAGGATGTTTTACAAAGTTCCAAATATATTCATTAAAGATAATGTAAACTACATTTGCATAGTGGTGAGGAAGAATATGATATTGGAAATAAACAAATTAATAATATGGTCAGGGCAATGAGGAGTTTGAAAATAGGAGATTTAGAGCACATAAGTTAAATGATAGTTTTATAGAAAAGTCTCAGATTTAGACAGACACAGTAGAATCAAGAATAAGCTTATTTGCTATTATTATAATGTTAATAGTAAAAAAAAAAAGAATTCAGGACTATAGTTATAATAGAAAACTATAATACATTATAATGAGAAGTACCGAAATTGGGTTAGATTTGGAGAATACTAATAATTGGTATTATTTGTAAATTCTAGAATTTTAATTATTTAATAGTGGCACTGTAAATGTTTTCAAAAGAGGATGAACTGTAGCATGTTAGGATTGATGACATAAACATTTATAGTCAAGTTCAATCTATAAGGATTACAATCAGGGTTTTTAAAAGTAGAAATTTTTTAATGGAAAATGCTACAGGTCACTTGATCAGACACGTAAAATTTCTTGACATGTTTTTCCTCAAAATAAGTATGATTCAAGGGGAAGAAGCATGATTGAGGTTTTTAAGATTGTGAGATCGAGGTTTGGATGAAATTTTCATAAAAGAACTTTGTAGATAAGCTAGAGGACACAACTTCCTTAAAGGCAGTGTTACTTTTCTAATAGGGTTGTAAGCCTAACAGAATATTTGGCTTTTAAATGTGATAGAAGCTGTAATATTGAAGGAGTTTAAAAGATTAGAGGAGAATTTTAGAGACCAGGGTTAGATATAAGAAAAATAGTTCCTTCATATAGTTTGGAACATCCTGTTCCTCTTAGGCTAAAGCCTGTTAGCTGCATCACCCCACAAAAGTTTGCCACACATTCCTGTCACACATTTACTCTTGGTATTCCTGTGATCCTTCTTTCAATTAGTATAGTGCCAAGGCTGTGCTTGAGTTTCTAGACCAAGTGTCAAATCCTGTAGAGGCTTGTATATGTTGGCAGAAGAAAGTGGAATATCCTATAGAGATCAATGGCTCCTTGGTATCCCTTGGAAATGAAACCAGAACTCCATACGTTAACTTTAAACTACACCACATTTTGAATGTAATTATATTCATATTGACCACATACTCGCTGGTAACTTTGGACGTCATAATTTAAGTTGAGACTATCAATTAATATTCATAACAGAAGCGAGGAAAATAATGTTTTTCATACCTAAGAGAAAAATAAACCAGATAATACAATGATTTTCT